AAGTGCTATTAAGTAGGCAACATTCCCATAGCTAATTTAATCCAAGGCAATCAGTATATATGATACAAAGTGGTTTTCTTTAAGAAGGACTTGGGGGTGGGTTGGAATTTTTTTTTTTTTGAATGATGACTTTTAGAAAGAGTGGTGTGCCCTGGAGGGAGTCTCTGCATTGCTCTGGTCCTGGAACAGCTTAATCAAATAGAAAGTAAGCCATTTTATATAGTTCTTTTATGTCCTGCCTAAGAGAATTTTGAAGAGTAAATTAACTGAAAAGGAGAAAAGAATACACAATTCTAATTCCTTGAAAGACCCTAAAGGAAATTCTTTGCTTAAATAAGAGGACTCAGGTTTGTCAACGTAAATGGCCATAATCATATCCAGAATGATTCAGGAGAATATTTTTTAAGGGAGTCATTCAATCCATATAGTCTAATCTTAAAGCAGAAATGATCTCTGACATTCAAAGACTCAGATGCAAAATTGTTGAAACTCATGATTGCCAAAATAAATTTATTTTTTTAAAGTGTCAAACATGCCTAATATGCTTTGGCACTGTGTTCACTGCTTGTCACAAACACAGTTTCCACCTAAGGCACCACTCAAAAGCATACTCCTCAAATGCTACATTTATGAGTTGGTAGAAAAAAGGAAAATAAAAAGTAGACAATGATAAGATAGTGAAAAGAAGAGAAAGCAATCCAGCTCCTTCTGCCCTCGGGAATGTTTTGCTCCCAGGGCCTCAGTTCTGAGGGAAATGTTTGCAAAGCAGTAGCAGTGAGGCACAGATATACATACATACCTCTTGGTGGGCGTGGGCACTCCAGAGGACATGTGGCTAACCATGGTGTCGTTCATATTAGTCAGAGGGCGAGGAGGACTGGAAGAAAAGACATTTATGTTACATTAATAATTACCAAGGAGCTCTGCTGGTATAGTGGTTAAAGCATTTGGCTGCTAACCAAACTGTTGGAGGTTTGAACACACCAGCAGTCTGCTACCTTAAAGATTATAGCCTTGGACACCCTATGGGGTAGTTTAATAACTGCTAACATGACTAGGGGAAACAAATGGAAGAGTGACAAGGGCAAAAGAGCCAACTGTCATTCCTGAGAAGCACAGAGGGACCCATGGGGAATGGGAGTAGAATCAATATTTTAAACACAAGTAAATACACTGAGAGGGGTGCTTTCTCAAAAAGCCATAGGACCCCAGAGCCCATGCTCTACCAGGAAAAGCAGCAGATTATAGACACGTTGCTATAGGCTGTAACTTGGTAGCTTTTGCTTTGTAGTCTGAGCGCACAAGAATCTGAGTTCTGCCACTTAATTCCTCTGCGTTGATGAGGAGGTGCTTGTTGTCTCTGGTATACGACGAAGGTCATGGCACCAACGTGTGCTTTCCCTGAGATTTTGGGAGAGCTCATTGCCTTCCTTCAGATTTAGTTTGCATAGTTTCTACTGAAATAATTAATTGGTTAACTACTAAATTCAAAGATAAGACTCTAGAGTAAACTTGTCTTAATCATTACTAAACTTTTACCAGAATCATAACAACAAACTCACATTTTATACCCATATCCTAACTGGAATGATATCTTTTATAATCGAATCCAAATTTAAATTCGAAGGCAAGCGTTTTTTTGTATCTTTAACTGCCGGTTTTCTGGGCTTAATGTCTACTTCTCCCTTTTGGAGAGCCCAGAATGAATCAATCCAAATTTATCAAAAAGAATCTGCCATTCTGCCTCTCTGCCATTCTTCAATTCCTCTTCCCGCCCCCGTGATGTTCAGCTACAAAGGGTATCTACCTTACATTTGGAACCACATGACTTTGCTAGGAGCTCTGTTGGTGTAGCGCCTAAGGCATTTGCCTGCTAACCAGAAGGCTGGTGGTTCAAACCCATCAGCTACTCCACAGAAGGAAGAGTGGGCAATCTTCTTCCATAAAGATTTATTGCCTTGGAAACCCAAAGGGGGTCAGTATGAGTTAGAACTGACTGGGATGGCAGTGAGTTTTTTTTTTTTTTTGACTTTGCTAAGTATTCCCTCTGAGAAGTCTCTCCCTTCCTTCCTAAATTAAAGAGGTACTTTTCAGAGGAATTTGTCCATTAAAAAGTAAAACAATGAGGAGAAAATTCCTCTCATATTTGGGTGCTCAGAAACTGCCTCCTGGTTTCTCGCACTTTTAAGGGCTGAGTTAATTATGTAAAATATTTTTGTACAAGTTATATTTAGCAATTCTTGGTGAATATTAAGGGACCAGAGCTTTCACTGCTTTGCATATTTCATGGTATATTCAAATAAAGGCTCAAGTGGAAGTTTTTCCCAGAGAGCCAAGCGAACTAGAGGAAAGGTTAGAGAGGGCTATGTCTCTATCATCTCTCTCTCTCTGTAAACACACACACACACACATGTACACAGACAGCTATAGTTACACTTTTTTTTTTTTAAAGTAATTTCATTTCTGGGCAGGGAAATTTTTATAATGATTTCCAATTTAATAGAGAGGATCAAAAATAGAGAGTAATTTGCAGGGAACAGAGTTTGGTCTTGGTCTTTTGATTTTTAAGCCATAGCACTCTGGTTATTGTTTACACTCTTCCCTAACCAGAAGGCTGGTGGTTCAAACCCACCAGCCACTCCTCGGAAGGAAGATGGGGCAATCTACTTCCGTAGTGATACTGCCTTGGAAATCGGAGGGGTTGCTATGAGTCGGGTCTGACTCAACAGCACATAATAACAACAACAACTTAGAGTGGCAAGTCCCTAAGAAAGACACTCAGAACTGATATATGCCTTTCTAGGCTAGAACTCAACTCCAAGTTATTTATCTCACTGCTTGTCTTACAGACAGATATCCAATTTTGCTTCCAACCTTGCAAGTCTTTCAAACCCAGGGACTGTGCTGAGTTATAATCAATTAATCAATTGTTTTAGGTTGACTAAAGATGGAAGTAAACAAAGGTATTAGCGCACTTAGAATCCTAAATTTACATTTTGGCCTCTGACCCTATTAATTCACCAATTAGAATGGGAAGACAACTCCCATCAAAGAACCAAACCTAAGAGCATAGCATTTCATACTTGAAGGCACCAGAAACTTTCTGGACTGTCCTGGAAATAGAATAAGATTTGTTTCTTTAATTTATTACCATTAGCAACCAATTTCCAAATTAAGATAGGGACATTTTTATACTGCTTTTAGAAATGAATGCAGTCACCTAGTAAATTTCAATATTGAAAATAGATACTATTGCATTCAAGTTCCTTTTTGACATTCTCAGAAGCAAAATGACACAGAAAATTAAAAAAAAAAAAAAAAAATCCTCCGACATGGATCCATGTGATAAAATTTCATGATCTGTAGCATTTTGTTTGATCTGATGTCACAAGTCTTTATAATTATCTCTGTCTCTTGACAGGTATCATGCTCAGCTATTATTTTATAGCACACATCAAGGCCTCTTCCCTAATACTGAAAGCCACATATTAATGATTATATTATAATTTATCATTATAACTGCCCCAGGTTTTGTACTCTTTCTGAACTTCTAACATGTTTTGCTAGGGAAAAAGGTTAACTGCAATCTTAGATGGAAGAGGCATTTGAAAACATAATGAAGATATGTACTATAGGATCTAGCATGAGAGACACAATTCACTGTGAAAGCCAACAATTCAGATGTAATGTAGTCTTAGAAATGTAATACAGTAAAAATGATTTCTGGCCTAAAAAATCATCATCATGTTTCTTCTAAGACATTGTCAAACAGAATACTTTCAGGTGTAAAGTAGGTATTAATGGGACCAGTTATAGAAACTTCCAAGGCAGTAAATCAACACAATTCATCAGGTCAGTTTTGTTGATCTTCAATATTTAATGCCAGATGAATACCTTAAACATGTTACCAGATATTCTGTATCTTCCTTTGGTGAACAGTTCAGCAAGGTACTTTTAGACACTAAGGATTTCCATGACACCAAAAGGACTGCCAACTATCATCTGGTACAGGCATTTGGGAGGTTCTTTCTCTGTTAGTAAGACATGACATTTGTCTGATGAGATAGCAGCAGATGGATGATATAGGTAGAAGGTAATTTGCTCGTCAGAGCAAAAAGACTTGGAGAGGATGTGTTGTTAGTTTTTAATCAAAGAGAAAAAGACACTCTTACTGGGTGCCAACTCATACAAAGATAAAGACACTATTCCTTATCTCAATGACCTAACCACACTTAGAGAGAAAGGTAAGTAAACAAATACTGCAATCACAATGCAAAATAATGAGTACAGCTATACAAGCATAAACATCATGTGGAGAAGTCAGATAAGGAGCAGTTAATCCTGCCTGGAGGGGTGAGAGGCAAGAGTAGCCAGGAAAGACCTTAAAGTCCTTGTTGTTATTTGCCATCGAGTTGGACCCCACTCATAGGACCCCACTCATAGCTACCCTAGGAGCTCTGGTAGCATAGTGCCTAAGGCACTTGACTGCTCACCAGAAGGCTGGTGGTTCAAACCCACCAGCCACTCCTCAGAAGGAAGGTTGGGCAATCCTACTTCCGTAACGATACTGCCTCAGAAACCCAAGGAGGGGTAACTATGAGTCGGGCAAAAACAAACAAACACAGCTACCCTTCCTTGGGTTTCCAAGGCAGTATCACTAGGGAAGTAGATTGCTTCATCTTCCTTCCGAGGAGTGGCTGGTGGGTATGAACAGCCAGCATTCTGGTTAGCAGTCAAGTGCCTTAAGCACTATGCTACCAGAGCTCCTTTAAAGTCTCTAAAGTGTTTCTAAGGCTGTAAATCTTTATGGAAGCTGATTGTCATGTCTTTCTCCCATGGACAGGATGGTGGATTTGAACCGCTGACCTTTTGATTTGCAGCTGAATGCCTTAACCATTGTACCATCAGACCATACAGAAAAGTATATATCCAGGGCTTTAAAGAACTAAATGTAAAATTTTAAATTATATTTATTAGGAGAAAATATATGGATCTATAGATAGAGATAGGAAAGAAGATGGGACAATCTACTTCCATAGAGATACTGCCTCAGAAACCCAAGGAGGTATTGCTGTGAGTCGGATCCAACTCGATGGCTGTGAGTTTGATTTGGTTTACAGACAGAGGAGCTGTGGTTGGCACAGGGGGCAAGGCATTTGGCTGCTAACCAGAAGGTCAGTGGTTCAAACTCACCAGATGCTCTGTGGGAAAAAGACGAGGCAATCTACTTCTCTAAAGATTTACAGGCTTGGAAACCCAATAAGGGTAACTGAGTCAGAATCAACTTGATGGCAGTGTTTTTGTTTTTTTTTTAAGTGTGGTTTGGGTGAATGTTTACAGAGCAAATTCACTTTCCATATAGCAGTTCACATAAACTTTGTCTCATGACAGTGACTACAATTTACCACAATGCAACAGCTTCCCGCCCACTTCTTCCCCATGGTTGCCTCTTCCCTGTGTCCTTCCCTCCATGCACTCCTGCCCCCTGAGCTGTCTCCTTGTGCATACATAGCTCTTCTATTCTTCCATGATTGTTCTCTCCAAGGAGTGCATCTACCTAATGTAAAGGTTCAGCTCCTGTGTCTATCTTCTGTTTGGCGGGAAGCCACAGGATGGGTTCAATTCCAAACCTGAAGGGCAGCTAGTGGCTATAGTCTCAGTGGTTCCATCAGGTACTATCAGACCAGCAAACCTAGTCCCTTCTTCTTCCTCTTGTTTTTTTTTTTTTTTTTTAATGATTTTGAGTTTTGTTCCACATTGTTCTCCCACTCTATCCAGGTTCTCCTACATAGATCCCCTTCTGAGTGGCTGACAGCACCATCTAGTTCTTCTGGTCTCATAGTCATGTAGGCTGACGATCGCATGGTGTACCAGTTA